AATAAAGAGCTCTATCTACGTACAGAGCAAGATTGATGTACCAAAAATGATTTATAATTTAAAAATGAGGGGTACTACCGAAAAGGTGCAGTCTTTTTTTTTGCGATTACGTGTACCATAGGCTCGAAAATAGTTTTCGACGCACCCGATAGTATTCCTAGGTAACGTAGGTCAAGTGAAAGCTCGTTTTGGTTCATTTGGAGTTAATATTGGTGCAAGATAGGTGCACAGTTTGTACCAAATGTACCATAGGCTCAGAAACCGTTTTGGACACTCTTGATGGTACTCCTAGGTAACGTGGGTCAAGTGAAAGCTCGTTTCGGTCTGTTAGGAGACAGTGTTAATCTTGGCGCAAGATAGGAGTAAGGTTTACGTCGAACGAACCATTGGCTTAGAAATTATTTTAGACGCTCCCGATGGTACTCCTATGTGACATGGGTCAAGTTGAAGTTTGTTTCGGTCTGTTTAGAGATAGTGTTATTCTCGGCGCAAGATAGGTATACGGTTTGCGCTAAACGTATCATATGCTTGGAAATGGTTTTGGACGCACCTGATGATACTCCCAGGTGACGTGGGTGAAGTGGAAGCTCGTTTCGGTCCGTTTGGGTCCACTTGACCGATGTCACCTTGGAGTACCATCGGGAGCATCCAAAACGATTTCTAAGCCAATGGTACGTTCGTTGCAAACCGTTCACCCATCTTACACCGAGATTAACATCGTCTCTAAATGGACATATACGAGCTTCACCAAGATGTATTCGCACTACTAAGATTTTGGAAATGGTCCCATGTAGTCGATTCTCCAAACATCAAAGAGCTCTAACTGGAGGTTGGTGGTGAGCAGTGTTCGCCTAAACGGCCCAACGGTAAACGGTGGTAAACTGTTTTGTTTAGGGGGTAAACAGAAATTAAACAGTTGACCATTTAAACGGTCAAAAAAAGGAAAAACGGTCTAAACGGCCTAAACGGAACGGAGATAAACAGCATTAAACGAGCTAAACAACTGTTTAAACGGCTGTTTAGGCGAACACAAGGTAAATCTAGTTCAGTTTTGTATGAATAAATTTGTATACTTAAGTTTATTATATTTATAAATGTGTACACTTGATATGTTACATGCATAAATATCTATATTTGATTCTTTTCACATGCATAAATATATATATATACCAAAACAATTGATTTTTACTCGGATAAATATGTATAAATGCTAGAATACTTGATTTTTTTGCACATATATAATTATATGTATTTTTTTTAAAGTACAAAACCATTTAGACCGTTTAACTTTGTTTAAACACCGTGTAAACAGCTTAAATGCTAAACGAAGGGCGACCGTGTAAAAACCGTTTACCATTTAGAAAAACATTGATGGTGAGTGACATAGCGTCTCTTGCATTGATACTTCCATGTTTCTTACATGGGGTACACCTTTGTATGAAGAGGCTGATAGGGCGGTCTCACAGGTTGGCCGGCCTAGGGGTTGGGCCGGCCGGCCCACTACTGGCACCATTTGGCCCAATCTTCGACGGTAAGTCTTCTAGATGATTCTAGAGTCTTTTTAAGTCGGTTTCGTCGCGGATAAACGTGATTTGATCTGACAATTGACAAGAATTTAAGCTACAAAGAATATCCAATAGTCATTCTTGACCATTCGGGGAGAAAGACTAGGACAAAGACGAAGGGACTTAGTGAAATTAGAACACTGCGATCATCGGACTCTCCGCGGCTAGGCACGAACCCTCCGGTACCAAGCCTGAGCTCTCGGAAAACCTCACTGTTCTCTATTATAAATCATCGGAACGTTCCGTCAGGACAATGGATCGTCCGGTAGGAACTAGCTGCTCTTGGGTCCCTAAAACAAAATTTATAATTCGGTGGACCCTATGTGGAACTTCACAGACACATATACATTTACTATTGATATATTTCCACATGTATTGGAGGACTTAGCATTTTGCAGGATATACATATATATATATATACATGGGGATTATGATCAAAAGGCGCAACTCGGAAAGCGTAAAGCAGAAATGTGCAATGGAATAAAGAAAGAAGGCCCACCTACACATCAAATCTGAGCGCCAAACCACCGAGAAAGGAGCCCAGGCCTAGCCACCAGCCCACCTGGCAAAGACGGTGGCCAGGCGAGCCAGCCAGTACAACACAGACACTCACAACGCACAGGACTTTGGATGGAAATGTGCTGGTCAACATGACCTCGTGGCCCAAGCCTAATTTAGGAGGCTACGGGTTGGGCCAATTCAGCTATAGGCTTTGGCCTCGCTGGCTTAATGAATATCATGGGTTGGTCCTGCTTGAAATGAGGTGAGTTTATTAAAATATTTCTGATGATTATACATATGCGAGATATGCATATTCATACGAGTTCACCATGCACGGCCCAAACTATTATTACTAACAAACATGACCGTGCTTTATTATTACTAACAAACATGTCCATGCTTTGCAACGATAAAAATGAAACTACTAAGAAAACAGGAATAGGGAATGCTGTCTCTACATTGTAATTCTAATCTTTCATATGTGTTGGCGAGGAGTTTGTTGCCAACGTGATAGGGATTAGTTTGTTCACTGATAACTATGATGAGAGATATGTCTCGAATTTCCACGCCCCACATTAGTAAATATATAACTTGATGACATATTTATTTAGACCGAACTAGATAACAAGCTGTTCAAGATCTTAGTTTACGAATTTGGCTAGTTGAATCATCAACTAAACCAAGTTCTGATATAATTGTTTTTGTCTCAATTGCAAATCCAACAACTTAGTGGTGTGAACCCTCCTTTTTTAAAGGAAATGTTAATGGTTCAAAGGCCTATATTGTTATTCTTTTTTACTCTGTTTTTCACATTTATTTTGTACTCTCTGTTTTCAGTTAGAACACAACTGATTACGCTTAAGAAAAAGCGCAGATGAAATAATAAAAAAACAGAAAAAAAGAAAAAGACCAGAACCAAAAAAACTTTTCATGGTTTAATATTAGGATAAAAGAAATAAAATAACATTATCATAGGTAGTATATCATAGATATAAGATACAGAAATGCTATACAAAACACATGTGTTTTAGTAAAAAAAAACATATGAATTTTTTGCACAAAGAAACACACGGTGAGCGCACGCGGCAGCATAGCTCCAGCAGCGCGCTTTCGCTTTCTACGCCTCGATTGTCGTGTGGACAGGTGTCCTGATCTGCGCCTCGACCTCTCATGTGGGCTGGTGTCCTGAGTGGCAGCACCAAGTGGACTGTCCAAGGGCCCCATGGCGCGACGACCCATTACGAACGGGACGGAGCCAACCGCCGTGTAATTTGTTCTTCCATAAAAAAAATGTTTTCTGTGATTTGTTGTGATTTTGTGATTATCTGAAGGTAGAAGAAGGCTAGAGATAGAAGAAGGGTAAAACCTATTGAATTTTAATTTTATGGTGCAAAAAAAAATTCATATGTTAAAATTACATAAAACACATGATTATACAGTAGACAGACTCTATAAGATATACATAGAATCGAGGGCAGTTTATTTGGAAAAAATTTCTACGCGACAGCACCCCACAGCGCTTATGTGCGACATCCTATAGATGATTGGTGCGTGTTCCTGTAGCCCATACGTCGTTCCGTCATCCTACGCGAAAATAACTAATTTAATTGATAAAAAATATATGAAAGGTATTCTAGCAAATAGCCTTGTTTTGGAGGAATCCTCCAGATAAGCCGGAACTGTTTCGAAGAAGCCATAATTTGCGGCTCCATTTAATTAGCTGAAAAATAAAAAAATAAGCTAAAATACTATTCCGATTGATTTGTTGTGAGAAAAAAATATCGTTTCGGCTAAAAAAATAAATCGAAAAAGACGGATTATAAGAGAAACGAACAGGGCCGACTCCTCTAAAAATGCTCTAATTTTTTTTCAATAAAAAACGTTTTTTTACGAAATAAAAAACTGCTTTAAACTACTCCTGCTGGTAGAGCTTCCCCGGAGAGACGGAGAGGAGCCCTATTTGGAGCCTCAATTTGATAATGGTATTACAACCAAATCCGTTTGCGGGATGACATTTTCTCCAGCGAAAACGAATTAAGCAGCCGAAGCCTCGTTCGGTCGTTCCTCAGCCTCGTCTGTTCGCGACCTCGCACGCCAGGTCATTCGGCTGCAGCGATCTCCGTCAGTGCACCGTGCACGAGCTTCGCCGCCGGTGAGCGACTTGCTGCTTCCGCGGCATCAGCGCCGGTGAGAACCACCCGCTTGTGTCTCCCTCCCTCTACACCCTTCCTCTCCACCCAAATTTTTTTCTCCAAGCCCTAGCCATAGCTTTCCTTCCGGATATGAAGGGATTTGGGCTGGACGGCAATATCTGCCAGACACGCCTGGGGACTAGAAGATCCACACCAGTTAGCCTGTGGATCTGTAGGTAGTTTTGTTCGTCTTTGCACTCCCAATACTGTAACTAGGGATGTATAAGTTTTCTTTTCCTTAGATCATTAGTTCGATCTGAAACCAATCAAAATAAACTAATCGAGATTTGAAAACAAGAAAATTGGTATGAAAATGAACTAATAAGGGAGTGACAAGAACTATCCACTTTGTACTCGTCCCCACTTTCACGTTGCATCCCTATTCCCTATCTGTAACCCATAGAGCTGCATTCCATTTCCATTCCCCTTGCCTTTTACAGCTCTCAACCAAACAGCGCCTTAGGCCTTAGCTGCACATTGTCACGCAGCCGATTTTAAGCCTCATAAATGCCAGCTTAGTAAAATCAAATGAATGTCACTTCTCACTGATACAGAAATATAATGTTGGTAGCAAGTAGTGCCAGTACATATTTAAAAGTAACAGAATGGTAAGAGTAAAAATAGTATCGGTCTGCTGCCTAGGGATCCTATCTGAAACTAGCACCATGAACCGCAGCAGCTGGCAAGAAAGCAGGCGTCGATGAATGGATTGGAGCATGTTCTCTCTCTATATGAGTGAAACCTATGGCTTGAACAGATTCAGCAGTGGCTTGACACCTTGCTCCTCTTGGTTGCTTCCATCCTGTAACTCCTGTGCCTGTTCAGTTTTCAGCAAATGGAAGGCAGTCAGCACAACATATTTGAAGCGCAAATTTGCAGATTGTCATCAAGAGAAATGGAGAAGACTCAACAAGAAGAGCAATCTAGGTTCATGGGATCGAAAACCCTTTCATGAATGTTGACCAATGCAATTCTATAACAAACCTGTCTTGAAGAGCTTGGCGAGCCATCGTCCGGCTTCAAACCAGGAGGACACCATGGGTAGAACGCAGATGCTTTGCAGTCTCCGATGCCCATCACGTCAGGCTCACGAATGGATGTGGCAGAAGAGGTTGCGGCAGCAGTGTCCATCACACCAATGGCCAGAGGAATTGCATTATTACCATAAGTCAGTGGATTGTCATCCGCTGGCTCCATCTTGATGGGCAGATCATGGAGAGCAACCATAGCCCTGGCTGGACCTGAATGTGAGGGTGCAAAGCCACCTATGGTGTTCACCATGGCGTCCTGCGTTACCAGTGTTGATTGGTGTCTCTCTCCAGCTGTTGCTGGCATATAACATGCAGCTAGGTGAGGTGCTGGAGCTCTCATGATGCCATTCGACCCCATCCCACCTCTTTTCGGTTGGGTAAAGGCTGACGCTCGGAAAGCTCAGGGTGCAATAGATGTGGAGCTTCCCTTGAAGTTCAGGCCATAGTCATTGGTGCATGCCACGAGTGGTGTTATTGGTCGGCTGTCTCCAGCCAGTGATGCCATGGCAGATGTGAGAGGTTGAGGGGCAGGAGCTCTCTGGATGCCATGTGAGGACAGACCACCGCTGTTCGACCCGAATGGCAGCGTCGTAGGACGGGCAGGAATGCCATTGGAGCTTGTGCCTTGATCCGAAGAGGTCACAATGGCCGTCAACATCTGTTGTTTATCTCTGGTTGATGCCATGGGGAATAATGGAAGGCATGGTGTTGGAGCTCTTGGAACTGGCATACCACAGAAAGCTTGACTCAAAAATCAGCCCCACACTATGAGCCGGGATAGATGGGGTGATCTGGGAGTGCATCCAAGTGATGTTGCTCCCCTTCAAATTTGCTTCATCATGAGAGACTGGAGGCGCCAAGCTTAGCCAGGATGCAGCATCTTTAAGCTCCTTTCCTTTCAGGTGTTTCCTGGAAACAGTTAAACGTCAATTGTTTTCTCATGTACTCTGATATGCTAGCGTTCAGAGCGCCATGGTCGTTCTGCTGAATGTGAGGCCAGAGCATATGGCAATTGATTATTTGGGAGTAATAAGTATAGCTACCAGAATTCTGTTGTCAAATTTTTTAGGATCTTCAGCAGCGCTTTAAGCTCCGGCGACCACTGAAAATCCTGCTTGTTCCTCGCTGGCTTCAGGTAATTGACCTGCAGAACTCCCACGATGCTCCGGTCTTTGTTTGAGAATCTATAGGGTGGAATGAAGGGCTGGAATATTTTGGAATTGAATCGGTATCAATAATAGGATCATGCCACAGAAGCAACTTTTTGCATAGATTTTCTGATTGTTTTGGCTTTTAGAAAGCAAAAGAAGAAATTTAAAACTCACCAGGATAAGGCGCTGTTTATAGTAGAAACAGAATCGATCTGCATCTGCTACGCCATCTAAGAATCCTAGCACCTGAGTTGAGTGAAATAGACAACGATGAAATGAGAATTTAGAAGCCAGGAATTGCTAGAAATATAAGCACCGATGCTAAATGGACAAAGACATCTAGCACTGACTTCAATTCCTCTTCTGTTATTTAACATGGAAAGACGCCCAAATGCACAAGCATGACATGAGTGCATGACACACACTGTTATGTGCCCTGTTCGTTTGGGCTTGTTTGGTTGATAAGCTATGGCTGAAAATACCGTTGGCTGATTTGGTGTGAGAGAAAAATATTGTTCGTTAGCTGAAAAAGTACAGCTTATAAGCCAAACAAGCCCAAACAAACAGGGCGATGACTGGCGTCACGTATCAACGCCGGGCCCGGCCCAGTGGCTAGGCTGGCCAGCGGCCAGGAGGGGCTAGACGCCCAGGATTGCTTATATTAGATATCTTAATTTCCTTAATTATAGGATCTTGATTGGCTTGTAATACAAGGGATAAATACCCCTTGACAATATGGAATTAATTAAGCAAGGCAATAATCTTTGCCTGGCCTCAAGGGCCTTTTGCTGACCCCCTTCCTCTCCCTCACGTCTCCCTAGCGCCGCCTCTCCCTCTCACGCCGCCACGGCTCCACGCCACCGCCGTGAGATCAAGCCCCGACCACCCGTCTTCCATCTCTACACACTACGTAGCCGGGTAGAATCAGTGCATATTCCATTGACTCTACCACCAGATTTTAGCAACTATTAATTGAACATATGTTATGTGTTTTCAGTTTTATCATCTATGATAGAATCAACACAATCTTTTTCACTTGGAAAATCTGCAATAACGGTTCTCTCTAGAATGACTATAGACCACCTCGTTTGACATAGGTTTGTATACTTTTAGTGCTATGAACATGGTTAGACATTTGAGGAAATCAATTTGAAGAAAATGTGGCATACCACTTCATCGTCCCTTTCTGCCATGCTACGCCTGTATTTAATGCATTGACTCTGCTTGAGCTCAGTCACAAGGTTACGACGCTTAACCTCTTCACCCCGAAGAATGATTCTAAAGTGCTTTGGTAGGCCCAGATACAAGATGGAAGCATAGGCCTGCAGAGAATGGCATTTTAGGAACACATAAACAGACTATTTGAGGAAAATAATTCATGTAAGTTAAAGAAGTGTCTGCAGAAATGATTGTGTATGTAACACTTGCCCTGAGAGATCTCCTGTATTGATATACCAAATTACTTTGATCCCCTGCAGCTTCGTTTTCTAGATGCATTGTTGGTGGTACACTAATTCTAATATCCTGCAATAAGCAAGGAGGAATTGATGAACTATTCGATAACGAGGAGTGTGTACAGGTAGGAGTTTATGAACAAAATGGGCATCCATGTGGAAAAAAAGAGAAGAATTGTAATTCATGATATGAACTCCATGATAACAGTAGACATGTCACAGTAGTAGAATCCTTTTATAGATGTCATAACATCAAAATCCAAATGATATACTATTAAGCTAGTATTGATAATCTATCCAATCAGTATGTATTTGTTACCTTCGTGTCAGTGTCGAAGTCGAGATCCAAGTGGCCTTCAGTGCTGCCTAACAGCTTGAACACAATGATTTTTGTTCCATGTGGACCGATGTCGTTAAACTGATTAGCAGCAGACACATCAACAAACAGTTCTCTGGGTCAATTATTTCAGTAGCACATGGTTTCAAACAAAATTCAGTAATGTAATTATGGTTAGAAACGAGGACATGCATTGCATGTAGTAATGTAATTATGGTTGAACCACAAGACTGAATAAGCATCTCAAAACACAAATTTTGTAGCAGCTCTTCATCTGAATTGTAGGGCGACAATCTCAGCAACATTGCCATATTGACAGAGAACTGCCCTGGCTCGCGTTCATATACTGTGGTTTCACCTGTCACCGGATCGTATTCATAATGCACCTAAAGCAAGAAAAAAGCATCATGGAACATGTTAGCATTTTGGTCCTCAGACATCATGGTCAGTGCCAAATGAGCATTATGTGCCACACACATACCATGGGTATTTCGATTTGATTTGCCAAATGAGCATTATGTGCCACACACATACCAATGGATTGAGTAGGAGAACTGAACCAAACAAGAACACAATGTTGTAAATTGAAGAAAAAAGCGACACAAAATGTAATTACTTATGTGTCGCAAACACAAAATTGCACAGAAAATGTTATAAATGTAAGGTCCCTAGCTCAGGAACTTCTCCCAGTTCCTATACAAATTGAGTTATTTATGTGAAATTTCTGAATCCTTAATAGGATCTTGGGAAATTCTGACCTGGTATGCACGTGACGGCTGAAAACGATAGTACTCGCACCAAGGTAGCTTACGCCAGCCCTGAATCCTTTCCCATCTGATCAGAAATTTCAAAAAATGTTGGATATAACACTAAACATGGCAAGGATGTGAAGTCGAGAATTGGTAAAGATATGAGTACATACTCTGCCCAATTGAATCAGGCGTCTTCCTATTTGGACATGCAGCAGTCATGCATTTCCTTAGAGAAATAGGATCCATGCCTCCTCCATCATCTTTATGCACAAACAAATATATGCGAATGAATTCAAACAACATTACTCATTTGTCAAGCATACTTGGTGGTGTTAGGTTGATCTCCACCAATTTGGCCCAACGACTGGATTGGACCCTTGATCCGCGCCCTGATCGGGGGCGCTCAGCTGTTCTAAGTGGCTGATGGCCCCCCGTCGCACAACACTATAAATAGGAGGTGGGGGCTGGGGCTCGAGACACGAGGTTCACCACAGCCGCCAGCCCCACTGTGATTCCTAGCCCTAGTCCAATCTAGAAGGGCGTGCTGTGAGCGACGAGAAGCACCATCGCCTTCGCCGCCGCCACCAGACCAAGTTTGCACTGCTGCTACTTCGTCGCTGGCGCCATGGCTGCGACTGGAGACTCGAGATTCTGAGCGTCGCTGCGGCACCATGGCCACGACATCGGTCAGGCGAGGTACATAAGTTATGTTTTACCCACTAGATCTATGCCTAGATAGTCTAAGAATTCTATCATTGGTACCAGAGCCTAGGTTGCTAGTTTGTAGATCTAGATCGGGGTAGAAAACCGAGAAGAACTTTAGAAGAAGGTGATTTGATTCAAATCGGATTGAACCTCAACCCAAAACCCTAACCCTAACCCTAGAAGGGAACAAACGGAGAGGGGAAGGAACCTACCCGATTTTCTCCACCACCGTCGACACCACCGCACACGGGAAGAAGCACCCGCCGCCGCCTCGCCGACACGCGGGGAGATGGCCGAGCCGCGCTCGTCGCCATGCGCGCGAGCCCCGGCCAAGGGCACCGTCACAGGACCGCTCGATGGCGACACGCTCACCCACTGGGGAGCGCGCGCTCCGGTGAGGGGACCCACGGCGGCGCCGCACTTCTTCGGTGTCTGCTGCACTGAGAGCTTGTAGGATCTCTGGAACGCCTAGAGGAGGGTGAATAGGCCTATAAAAATTCAACTCAAACCGAAGTCAAATTCACCCACGGCACTGCCGCTCTGTGAGCGCGGCACTACCGCACCTGTAGGAGAGATTAGTTCACAGTTCAAAATCTACCCAACGAAATTTAGATTGGGTAAATTTCTTAGGTTCCTGCAGGGTAGTAGATCACAGATCGACAGCTGAAAGTGGTGGGAACACCACACACAAGTAGATCAGCCTCAAACTCTAGAAATCACCTCAATCAACAATATGTCATGCAAGTAATGTAAATCAAGCACAAGTGACATAATGATTTATCCCGTGGTTTGGCTCGCCACCAAGGCTTGCCTACCTCCACGTTGTTGAGGTTAGCCACTAAGGCTTAGAGCTTTCTAGCCCTTCCTCGTTCTTAAGTCAAGAGACTTAACTCTTGAAATGAGGGGTGAGTTTACTAGCTTCAAGAGATGGTTACAAACCTCTCGGGTGAAAGCTCTAGTTTGGTTTTAGTGAATTGATGAAACCCTAAGTGCTAACCTAGTTTATCAAAGTGATCATAAGATGGTAGCACATTCCAAGTGGTGAAGCAAATAAAGATCATGACATGATGATGGTGATGCCATGGTGATGATCAAGTGCTTGGACTTGAAAAGAAGAAAGAGAAAACAAAAGGCTTAAGGCAAAGGTATAAGTGGTAGGAACCATTTCATTTCGGTGATCAAGACACTTAGCGAGTGTGATCACATTTAGGTTCGATAGCCATACTATTAAGAGGGGTGAAAGTCATATCGAAATACAGTTTATCAAAGTGCCACTAGATGCTCTAACTCATTGCATATGCATTTAGGATCTAGTGGAGTGCTAACACCCTTAAAAATGTTTGTGAAAAATATGCTAACACACATGCACAAAGGTGATATACACATTGTGTTTAGCACTTGGGAGCAAGGGTTCGAAACTTCACCGACGGAGTGTCCGCCTGTAGAGTGTGGATAGTCCGACGGTACCACCGGCGCCCTATACAGAAAAGACAGGGTTTTACAGAGTGCACTAGACGCTGTCCTCGTGGGACCGGACGTGTCCGGTGGCTAAACCTAGGTGTCGGTCAGTCAGCAGAGACTGACCGGACTCTGAGCGAGTCCGGTCATGTTTGACCAGACTCTAGAGAGCAGCATCCGGTCAATTATAAAAGAAAGTGGTACTCTCGGCCTGTGACCGGACGTAGGCGACCGGACTCTGGCTGAACACTGTTCAGCGTCCGGTCCTGCTGATGTTGCGGCGCACAAAGAAGAGGGTAAGTGATCGGATGCTAGGCGAATCCAATCGGGCGTGACCGAACGCGTTCGATCGCAAGTGGAACCTTACTGGAAGTGACCGGACGCTGGGGTCCTGCGTCCAGTCGTGATCAAACTGACACATCCGGTAGTGAATGGAACCTCTCTAGAAACGACCGGACTCGACAAAGGTATGTCCGATCTTGGCACTGTGCTGTGTTCGGTCATCACTTTACCGTTGAGATCAAGCAACTGAGGTTGAATGGAGGCGACACGTGGCGTGCATCTGTTGACCGAACGCTGGACCGGGTGCGTCTGGTCGATCTGACCAGAGCATCTGGTCACCCCGAGTAGTGCCCAGTGAAGGGGTACAACGGCTCTATTTCGTGGGGGCTTCTATTTAAGCCCCATTGCCGGCTCAAGTTCACTCTCTTGGCCATTTGCATTGACATAGCAACCTTGTGAGCTTAGCCAAAGCCCTCCCACTCATCTCCATTATTGATTCATCATCTTTGTGAGATTGGAAGAGAATCCAAGTGCATTGCTTGAGTGTTTGCATCTAGAGGCACTTGGTGTTCGTGTTTTGCTATGGGATTCGCTGTTACTCTTGGTGGTTGCCACCACCTAGATGGCTTGAACCAGCGAGGATCGTCGAGCGGAGGTTGGTGATTGCCTCCGGCTTCGATCATGGTGATTGTGAGGGGTTCTTGACCTTTTTCCCGGTGGAGAGCCAAAAGGTACTCTAGTAAATTGCTCGTGGCTTGTGTGATCGTCATCTTGTGTTGGTTGTGCGGCACCCTATTAAGGGTTTGGCGTGTGATGCCAATTAGCACGTGAACCTCCAAGTGAGTGAATTGCCACAATGAGGACTAGCTTGCCGGCAAGCAAGTGAACCTCGGTAAAAAATCATTGTGTCATCATTTGATTATGAGGTGATTGATTGGTATTCATCCTTGTGATTGATTGGTTCATTCCTTGACTCGGCGGTATATCCATCTTGCTCTATCTCTTTACATTATCGCAAACTAGTTGTCAAGCTCTTTAGTGTAGCTAGTCGTGAGAGCTTGTTAGTTTGGTTAGTGTGGCTCTTTAGTTAGCCTTTGAGAGCACACTAACTTAGTGTAGCAACATAGCCATTGTGTGGATAGAGACTATACAAAATAGAATTGGGTAGGTGGCTTGCAACCCCAAGTATAGTGCTAGCGTAAAATTCGCTTCGCCATCTTATTGACTAATCATTCATCTTAGTGTTGTTGTAGAAATTTTTAATAGGCTATTCACCCCCCTCTAGCTATTAGGACCTTTCACCGGGGCTGCCACATAAGTTGGCAAGCTCCACGGGCGACGCTCTAGCCGGCTAGGAGCCAAGCTCCAAGAGTAACAAACATAACCACCGGCTAAAATGTGAACCAAGTGCTCTTTAGAGTTTGGTAATCAATGGAGCTGCTCCCTAATCAAGTTTTGGACCCTTATCCCTCAAGGATTGATGGGAAAATCAATGGATTTGCTTAGGGGTTTGAGGTCAACAATGGAGTGAGAGAGAGAGCTCCTGCTCTATTTTGGGCGTGCTGAAGTGAGAAAGAATAGAGCTCGTTGGTTAGTTACCGTTGGGAAGGAAGGGGAAAGATATATATATACCCCCCAGGCCCCAATGGTCACTTTAAATCATAGACAGCCGTTGGTGAGGAAAGGGAAAAGTATATATACCTCCCAGCCCCCAACGGTCACAGCACCCAAGGGATTGGGCGAGACGGAGCCTGCGGCCTTGAGGTTGGGCGAGGTGCCCACGACCAAGGGGTTAGGCGAGACGGAGCCCGTGACCAAGGGGTCGGGCGAGCCGGATCCCGTGACCTTGGGGTCGGATGAGACGGAGCCCTCGACCTTAGGGTCTGGTGAGTCGGAGCTCGCACCCAAGGGGTCGGGCGAGTCGGAGCTCACACCCTGCAAGACAGCAAGGGTAATAGTGAAGTGTAGACTGTCTTGGCTGTGAATCTGAGGATGCTTGTGGTTGTTTGAGAACTTGGTAGCACATATTAGCTTAAGCATTGTGTCCTCCTTTATAGTATGGCTTTTCCTATACTCAAATTCAAGATATAAAGGAATCTTAAACCTCTTTTGAGTTTGAAGCCATCTATATTTGTAATTGGGGGCTCCTCCGTTTCGTGTAGCATCCTCAAATATAAATTCCCTGCTTGTCATCTCAATAAATCTTATTAGTTCTCTAATTGCGTGGTCTTTATCACCAAAACCCATAATTAGGGCTTGATTGCACTTTCAATCTCCCCCTTTTTGGTGATTGATGACAACCCGATTAGAGCTTACAAAGGATATGAAATAAATACTGAGATTTTTGAGCCATGGGTGTAGAGCCTCCCCTAAGTATGTGAATAGAGAATTGAATTCTCAAATTGGTATAAGAAGCCAAGATTCACATTTTAGTGAAAGTGATGGGGCTCCTCCTACATCCATGCTCCTGTGGGGTGCTGCATAGTGTGTCAAGTATGTAAAACATGATGTAAATGACAGTTTTTGCACACATGTGCTTGCTGCTATGCGGAGTGCCGCACCTGACTGTACGAGCAAGATAGAGTCAAGCACCACATAGCTAGCTTAGATAAAAAAGATATGCAACCTAGCACAATA